TGGACTACCAGTGAATGTATAATATTACTTTCCTTGTCTGCCATTTGTTATATGTATATTCTGCAATATAAATGGGGAACTGTGAGTCTTCTTATGTTACTGAACCATAATTCTTGACACTCCTCACCACTGATCAGCTACTAGGAATTGTATTTTTGCAGTATCTACTTTCTAAGCTTCTCACCACTGTCCTACATAGTCCTGTGGAAGAGCATATGTGTGATTCTGTCTCTGTCTAGCACCAAAGACATTCTGTTTCTCCTAATATGATAGAGAAAGGCTCACATAACCTGAAGAGAATTTGGTACATTTCTTTTTCAGCCAAGTCAATAACTTCTGGCACCAGCCATTATTGACTGACTCCAGGTTTGCTTAGAGGATTCCCCATGACCTTCTGACCCTACAAAGGGAGGTGGGAATTTAAAATGTGGTACCGCAAATAATATTAACTTATTATAAGAATAAGGGAAAAGTGGTAAAATTAAGGGTCATTAAGTGGATTTAATTGACCTAACTCATGTGAATGCCATTGTCATAAGACTGGGACATGAGTACTGCATTAGATATTCTTCAAAAGCATGAAATAAATTTATGCAAGACAAACAACATTCAGTGTTAAGTCACAATAGCTAAATGGAACTCCAGTTCGGCAGCAGCATCGTTCCAACTATCAAATACTGAGGCAAACCACAGGAAACTGCTGTTTGTGCCTTCCTTGGACAATCCCTTGAAGTCTCTGGCCAGCCATTCTTGGAAATAGCTAGGACATCAGAAGATCCATTTCCACTCATGTATATGAATGTTGAGAACTTTGGGTGAAGCCCTTTTTATTAGTCACCACTATTTGAAGAATGCTGAGTGCGTACGTGTGTGTGTGTGTGTGTGTGTGTGGAATCTTTTTGATAGCGGCCTTCAGAACTTGGAATTTGCAGCCAAGGAAAGAAGCTTGGCATCTTGGCCCCCCCCCCACTTTGAGGCCAGGCCAAATTACTACGTTCAGGTAATGACTGAGCCCTATTTTCTCTATTGCCTGTTTTTACTCTTGTTTCTCTTCTGTTTTATGTTGTCTTTTCATTAATTGGCCGTTTTTCAGTGCGTGTTAGATATATTCATCATGTTGTTTGGGTAGCTTGGAGAAAAAAGAATATGTTTTCATTCAAAAAATCAGACATGAATTGACAGCAGTAATATCAATCAATGTATTTAAATAGCAAGTTACAAATATAATCTAAAATTTGGCATTATAACAAGTAAAATATTTAATAAAACACTTAAAACTCTACTTGAGCATGATATCAAGAGGGATTTGGAAAGCCAAAAAAGGGTTGAGGGTGCTCACCATCTAAAGAGCACCCTTGTTATATAGCCTGCATGATACATCGTGGCAACCAGATGCCCTGTGTCAGATGTGCTTATCTATTCTGTAGCACTTAGGGCTGCTTGTTTTATTAATGCACTTAACATATGTTTTATTTATCTATCCAGTAGCAGAAACTGGAATCCGTGAAGTGATTCGAGTGCTTAAACTAAACGACACTGGCTCACTGATATCGCACCGAATTAAATTTACTTTCCGGTACTGCAATCAATGGGTATTGAAACTACATTTGGGTGGACTGGCTCATAACTGCAGCACGCCGTTCCTTCGCCTGAGCTCAGCGCTATCTCTCGGGCATTTGCTGTCCTACGGCGATGCAGATTGCGGAGAACGAATCGCCCACTCCTGCCCCTCCCTCGCCATCCCGCACAGCTACGCGGGCGAGTCACGCACCCAAAGCCCCTGCCCGGGGCGGAGGCGCTGCGAAGGCGCTGCTCCCCCTCCTGGGCTCAAAGTTACGTGGGAAAGGGTGTCTGGTTCTTCCGAGCCCACCCATGCTGCGCCGATCACGTCCCAGCCTTGAGGGAGGAGCCATGCCATTTGCAGCTTGCCCAGTAGCCTTACGGGAGAGGAAGGAGAGGTGGCAACTCTTGGTGGTGGAAGGAAGAGAAAATGGCTCAGATCCGTGCCTTTCGGGGCCAGGCGGTTGCCGGAATCTAAAGGGGTCAAGGGTCCGCCCACGTAGCCGCTATGGGAATATGACAGCTGAGGAAGTCCAGCTAAAAGCTGACCCAAACGGTTGGGTCCTGCCTGATTCTGGTACGTAAGGGAGGGTTTGGGCCCCGCCGTCCTCCTATTTTCCTGCCACTGGTAAAAATTAGTATTATTCTGATTTGAAGCTGTAAACAAAAGCTGATTTCTTCCTAAAGGACGAAGTGAACGGCCACAAAGCTCCGCTTTGATCCGGCTTTTGTTTACATCTGACGCTAATTTATTTGTTTACATTCGTTGCTAGTTTATTCCAAGCTATCCCTTTTTCACCTCTTCTGTTAGAAGTGCCTCTGCTTGTGGCCTAAGCCAGCCTTCCGGTGAGGATGTGGAAACTTCGTTCCTTTCTCCGAAAACTATATTCGCTTTGGTGGGCTTGCAAAGGCTGAGCGTGGTGCAATATAGCCTCAGCGACCTCCGGCAACTAATACTTCGAAGTTTTACATCTCTACTTTGGATTGCGTGCGTGTGTGTGTGTTTAAAGGGGAAGAACTTGCCACAGTCTTGCTGTCGGAATTCTCTCAGGATGGGGCGGCGGGGGGAAGGAGACAGTGAACGGCGAAAAGAGCATTAGGAAGAAGGTGCAAGGATTCGGGTGGGGATAGCGGCGCTACAGCAGCGCCTGTTTGGATTAATTGGTCGTAACCCAAAAAAGAACGAACCGCAGCCTCGGAAGGCCAGTAAACCGACTCCTGCGGAATGAAGTCTAGACTTGCGGCTTTGGCGGAGGCTCGGGGGACACTCACGGTCGGAGCGCTAAACACAAGGGCAGAGAAAGCGCGAGCTGCAGGAGAAGGGGTGGAGAAAGTAGGCAGCCGAATGGGTGCCTGCTCTGAGAGTCCGGTCCGGGTTTTGCTTACAGCCCCGGGCATTAGCAATAGCGGCCGCAGCAAGAGGCAGCCCTTTGCAATGTGGTCCGCCTGTCTCGGCACTTGCAGAGCGAGGGTGTAGAGGTGGGTTTGCCGAGGAGTTGCTGGCGTGGGATCGAGGGAGGGAGGGCAAGTTGTTCTCGTCAGCTATCTTTAGCTTTATCAACTTGTTTGCAATTCTGACTTTGCCCGCTCCGACCTCTTTCTTAATATGCCCGCCGCCGCCGCCTGCTCTGGGCTTCGCTGCCACTCCTGACTGTGCTCGGCGGGGAGTCGGCTAGCCTGAGGTCCCTTTTTGAGCGAGGATACCTTTGGGGCAGGTGTTGAGATCACCAGCATCACCGCCGTGCACGATCTGGATTTGCCTCTCTAATCCGGCTAGCGCCAGCGCGCGCGCAACACGCACACACGGACTGCCCGGGGTGGCGGGTGCAGGTCTCCTTCCTCCCTGCGCGTCACGACCGCTGCTCTTGCAGCTCCGGACCGCTCAGCTTCTGGTAGGTGCACCAATCTGAAGAGGCCTTTTCTCTTGACTATCTATGCAGACGCAGGGCGGGAAGGAGGAAAGTCTTGCGGAAAAGTTTGCGGCGGTGAAATAATCTCCCTTCCCTTCGGGGGCCGCCGAGTGGATGGCGTAGGTCCTCTGGCTCCCTTCCACCTCCTGCGCCGCCTCCCTCCGTCCCTCCCCGCGTTCCTTCTGGGGAGGTGTTGCTGCCGCAGCAGCACATCCACGCTGGTCTCAGATCAGTGGCTCCAGACAAAAAGCGAGGGGGGATTTGGGGTGTGTGCCGCGTGCGATTCTGAGCAGCGCCAGCGGCAAAAGAGCAGCTTCGGGAGGTCCCCTGAAGAGGGCGGGCTCTTCCCTCGATCCCGAAAGCCAACCCGGGGCAGAGACCTCGGCGCCTTTTCTGCTTCAGCAGGAAGAGAAGCGGCCGGAGCTGCTCGCCGAATCTGGAAGTGGAGTCGCCAGGAAGGTTCGGGCGATTCTCGTTTTTCCTGGGTCTTGGTTTTTTGGGGGAGGGGGTGCGTGGGGGGGGGAGTGAGCGCTTGGTTCGTGGCTG